GAAATAATCATTTTCAGAGCGTTAGTGAATTAAAAAAAAGCAGTATAAAAACCGGAATGTCCAACTGATAAGGCTGAAAATTTTTTCACTTGTTATTTACAGTAAGATAAATACATTCACCGACTTTTATTGAAATAAAACCATTTAAACTGGGTGTACGGATTTATATGTCACTTAGTATATATTGCAATCAACTATATTCTTTAGGACTTTTTTCTATCTGTCTCTCCTTGGTTATTATAAATAATCATCTCTTCAACTGTGTGAAATAAAATGCAGCCTATATTTCTGAAACTTCTTGTTTCACGGAGTCAGGATTGCAATTTGTAACAACCATTTTTCATTTACCTTAAACAAAGGGCAATCATGGTAGCAAAACCTCAGATCATGTTTACAAATTAACGTTTCGATATTCCTGACTCTGTCGATGATACGAGTAAGACGTTTGATTCTTGGTCAGGAATTTCTTGCATTGTATTAACAAAGTTTCTTTAAGCTCCTCATATCAGCCTTGGTATTTAGGCTTCTCCGGTATAAAAAGCATTGTCGGGCTCAGCCCATGACATGATACAGACTATTATCCACCATCAGACCGAAGATTTTCGATTTAGTTCTCCCCACCATACATTTCGCTCCTGACGAATAGAAGCATTTATAAATCCGAACACCCAGTTTAAATGGTTTTATTTTAATAAAAGTTGGTGAATGTATTTATCGTACTGTAAATAACAAGTGAAAAAATTTTCAGCCTTATCAGTTGGACATTCCGGTTTTTATACTGTTTTTTTTTTAATTCACTAACGCTCTAAAAATGAATATTTCAGCCGCAGTAAAGAATCAACGTTGGCGGATTTTGGTTCTTGACATCCTTTACGATCGGTTACGATGCCTAGAGTACGGAGACCTGTACGATTTCGTCAACTTAGTGAGTTTGATAGGGGCCGTATAGTGGGACTTCGGGAAGCTGGACTTTCTTATCGGGCAATTGCAGTTAGAGTGCAAAGAAGTGTAGACACTGTGGTTAGGTGTTGAGGCATGGCTTCGAGAAGGCCGTACCCAAAGAGCAAGGGGCACTGGACGCCGCCGTAGAACAACAGACCGTGAAGATCGCCGCCTAAGATTATTGGCCTTAAGGGACCGTTTCTCCACTACCAGCTCCATTGCAAATGAATGGTTTGCAGAACACGGAAGACTTATTGGCATGCGAAGTGTTTACCGACGAATGAGAAGTTTTGGCTTGTTTTCATACCGGCCACACTGGGTCCTCCCTTCAACTCGAGAACACCGACGTAATCGCCTTGAGTGGTGCAGACAACGGTCACTCTGGGATCAGGAATGGAACAGTATTGTCTTTAGTGACGAGTCTCGATTTTGTTTAGGCATGCACGATGGTCGTGCCAGGGTTAGAAGGCGACGTGGTGAAAGGAGGAATCCACAGTTTTTTGTTGAAAGACATGTACATCACACTGTTGGAGTTATGGTTTGGGGTGCTATAGCTTGTGGTTCCAGGTCACCTTTAATCTTCATCAGAGGTAACATGAACGCGCAGCGTTATATCCACGAAGTTCTAGAACCCCATCTTTTACCCTATCTTGACACCCTGGCAGATCCAACTTTCCAACAAGATAATGCCCGACCACATATTGCAAGAGTCACAGTAGACTTCTATCACCACATCCATACCACATACAGCGTGTTCAACCTCTCCTGCCCCGGGATTATGAGCCCCGAGTTGCTTTTTGTCGCACAATGTTAGAAAGACACAGGAAAGACCCACAGTTCTTTGAAAAAAATTTATGGTCGGATGAGACCACATTTAAGAAAGATGGGTACATGAACCTGCATAACTTACACGAGCGGCACGTAGCAAACCCACATTTGATGAGAGAAGGTAAATCTCAATATCGCTTCAAGATAAACCATTGGACAGGAATTTTAAATGGTAAAATAATCGGTCCGGTTGAGTTCCCAGAGACTTTGACTGCTGAAGTTTATTTGGATTTTTTGAAAAATCATGTACAAAATTTATTGGTGGACGTGCCACTGAGTATTTACAGGGACATGTGGTTTCAGCATGATGGCTGCCCAGCGCACTATGCACTCTGAGTGAGAGAGTATCTGGATCAAAACTTTCCAGGCAGATGGATAAGGCGGTCTGGTACAATACCGTGGCCAGCCCGATCACCTGATTTGAATCCTTTAGATTTTTTTACTGAGGAACTGTAAAAGAAAAAGTGTATTTCAAGCCGATTCAAAATGTAGCTGAGCTACGGCAAAGACTATTGGAAGCATCTGAGTTTGTTTATAACCGTGGATTTGCTCGTTTAATAACCCGATCTTTTTTAAGATGTCGAGCGTGTATTGCGGCTGAAGGAAAACAGTTTGAGCATTTGCTGTAAAGGTAAATCATCATCAGCAGCATTTTGACGCCCACTGTTGTGCAAACAGTTATCCTTAAGGGTCCTTGTGCGTTTTCATAATCGCTGTTTAATTAGGAAATTTTGAAAAATTTTCATCAGTTTTTTTTTCAAATAAAAATTGTGCATAAGTTAACGAGTAATCTTCTAAGTGTTATACCATTTTGGAATCGTTATTAAATACGCCAACTTTTAAGGTTACCTGCCAAACTCTCGTAGTACATTTTTTTCCAGTACAGCCAGTTAAAGTTGAGCAAAGTTTTACTTTGGAATACTTGATTGGGAAATAAGTGGCAATTTTTCCTGAACGAGAAAAGTTGGCAGTAAGGTTGAGACACCAGTTTGAAGATGCATTATTCATCATTACATTGTAAAAATAAAATCGAAAAAAGTTAATATTTGTAGTAACAGGAGTTGACAGACTGCCGTAGGGTGTGAAAATTCTATATCTTTTGCAAAGACCTATAATTTTCAAAACACATACATAAAATTTTTTTAAATATTTTTCTGATAGCTGTTATGACTTTGCCTATCACCCGGTTTCGGCTTGACGTCGACTTCTGGGACACCCTGTATGTCACTTAGTATACATCCACACGTACGTAATCATATTCATAGTTTTCTCTGTACTTAAAGCGGCTTTCTCTTTTTTGTTTTTTATTTCACACAGACTATGTAGATAATCATTGCACTTTGTATTGATTTCCAAATGCTATCTGTACTATTGGGCAATAATTGCTTCATTATTATTATTATTATCTCATTTGCACATCCATCCTAATGCACGCATGTAAAGTGCTGTTATCCTCAAAATCTGATTCAAACTTTTCTCGCCGGAAACAGGCAGCAATGTTTATCCTTACCCCTAATAAAATGGTAATTTTTTGTCACCAAGTTACAACCGACATCCGTTGTAAATTACTTGCTCCTACAGGACTACTTCCCACTTGTAATTTTGCGGCAAAGTGCTAAAAGAGGGCTCACGAACCAATCGCCTTCAGCGTAATCAACGTCGTACAATCTGCGTACTTTGCATAAAAGCCAACGTCAGGATGGCAAAGAAGCGGAATGAAGTTTGCGTATCGGTGGCAGAGCAACTTCCAAAACTCCCAACTCTGCCGGAATCGTATGTGTACTTACCCGGGCCGGGGCGCTGGTTCTACGGTGGAACTTTCAATCCCCCAATTACACAATATCTAGGATTACGGAGGGTTATCAGCGCATTGCCTGCATTTGCATAAAACTGTCATTATTCTAAATACGCCGGCGAAGGGCAATCCCGCTTCTGATGCAGAGGGCCCGGAGAAACACAGAGCCGGACTATCAAGATTCTGTGCCCATTGCTCGGAAAGGGATAAACATAATGTCGAACCCAAATTACTATAGTGTATATCAGAATACTTGAACAAATCTTAAATAACAAAGGACCTCGCATAAAACATATGAAAAATGGGTCCCAGTCGATTTGTCTGAAATTTGAATATGATATATTTCTTGCTTTTCTGAACAATAGTTCTTATGGGATCAAAGCAATCCTATGATTAGTTTCTGGCAGTGGCGGCTCGTGAGGTAGTGCCACGGTGCCATGGCACTACCTTGTCTTCTTCAAAAAGAATATTTTTTTCAATCTTCAATGTTTTACTTTATTTTTTGCTTTTTCATTTTTTTTTGGTATAAATTATATGAAGTGACAACACTGACAACGTGACAACACCGCAAGCACCCGAACCACGCGACGAGATATAAAGCATGCCTTGACCTTGACGTCATCAACTTGTGCCAATGTCGGGCCGGCCCAAATAAAAAGAGAGAAATTTTACCAGCATCGCATACGAGCGACAGAGATAACGCTACAATACACATTTTTATATGAGGTGAATAGCGAAAGACAAGTATAATTTGTGCCAGGCACATCATCAGTCGTAATTCGTTATCAAATGATATCGGCGGTGTTTTTGTTCGGTCGGTCGTTTCGTTATGATTACGTCTAGTGCTGATTTCGGTCTTTTTTTACCTGAAAAGTGAGAAATAACGTTTTTGTTTTAGTACGTCTAGTGTTAATGAACTGCTCTGTTTTGTGATCATATTTTTTACTGTTTTATTAAAACTAGTGAAAATGAATAAAATCGGGATATTAAAAAACTCATTTAGTGGTTTTTCGCTGGATCAAAAACTGCAAATTAAAGAATTAGGACGGCCAATACCCGATTTAAAAATTGAGAAACAAAGTGGTAGCGGACAAAAATCGCGCTGTCGCAAATTTAATAAAAATGTGTACGATAAAAACAGCTGGATATGTGGTTGTGAAGAAACGAATAAACTATTTTGTTTTGTATGTGTTCTATTTGGAGGTGACGAGACTTGGTCAAAAAAAGGTACAGATGATCTTATACATATATGGGATAAAATGAAGACCCACGAAAAATCTAAAGTCCATATGAATAATGTTTTTAGCTTTTCTATTCTTGGTAAATTAAATATAAGGACTCAACTCAATTCGGCTTATCGCAATGATCTAATTAAACATAATAATCAAGTGGATAAGAATCGATATGTATTGAATAAAATTATTAATTGTATAAGGTTTTGTGGAGCATTTGAGTTAGCCTTAAGGGGTCACGATGAAAAGGAAAATTCGGAAAACAGAGGCATATTTAAGGAGCTGGTGAATTTTAGCGCCGAATTAGACAACGAATTGAAAGTCCATATTCAAAGTGCCAAACTTTTCAAGGGTACCTCAAAAACAACTCAAAACGAGCTTCTTGAGTGCATGCTAGATGTTTATCATGAAGAAGTTAAGAAGGAGATTGCAAATTCTCCTTTTGTTGCAGTAATTGCCGATGAAACGACTGACGTAGCCTGTGAATTTCAGTTAGTTATTATTTTCAGATATTTGTGTAAAGGACAACCAGTTGAGAGATTTTGGAGATTTTACGTCCCCGACGGACACGATGCCAAATCAATCGCTGCATGCGTTTTAAATGTTGTAAATCCATTAATAGATCAAAATCCAAACAAATTAATAGCTCAAAGCTATGATGGTGCGTCTGTTATGAGTGGTGAATTGAATGGCGTTCAAAAGATTATTAAGGAAACTTATCCACTTGCAAATTATGTTCATTGCTATGCACACCAGTTAAATCTAATTATGACAAGCGCATGCTCTGTCAATAAGCAGGCTAGAATATTTTTCCATAATTTATCTGGATTGTGCTCTTTTTTTTCGACGTCTCCTCAAAGAACAAAAATTTTGGATGAAATAGTTAATCGCAGATTGCCAAGATCTTCCCAAACACGTTGGAATTTTCAGTCACGAGGTGTTCATACAGTTTATGAAAATAGGAAAGACCTGATTGAAGTTATGGACAATATAAAAAGTACTTCACGCGATTCTTCGTCGATTAATCAAGCCAGTGGGTACAAATTAAAGCTGCAAGATACAAATTTTGTATTTTGGCTAAGTATATTCCATAAAATAATGCCACATGTTGAAATTGTCTTTAACCAATTACAAAAAGTATGCACCGATTCTGTTAAGGTCAAAAATGATTTAGAGAATTTTGAAGCAGCAATTCAAACTATACGAGAACAAATGGATAGCATTATTGACGAGATTGAACGAGTGCAGAGAGAAACTGATGAACCGGCAAGAAAAAAAAGGCAAGTTGAAGAAGGCAGCAAAAAACGGGAAGCGTTAGAAATATGCGATGCAGTATTATCGCAAATAAGAACAAGATTTAACTTTTCTGGGCATTTAGTTGCTTCTAATTTATTTGTGTCTGAAAAGTTTTCTGTTTATAAACATCAGTTTCCTGAAGCACATTTAAATGACACATGCACACAATTTTCATTTTTAGACAAAAACAGGCTTAAAACTGAGTTACAAGTATTATATCAGAGAGAAGAATTGAGTACTACTTCTGGAGCTGTTCCACTATCCATTTTATTGAACGAGGAAGGATTAAATTGTACGTTTCAAGAAACTCTTAAGCTCTTAAGTATTTTAATCACTATACCGATGTCAACATCTGAAGCAGAACGCTCTTTTTCAATGCTGAAACGGATTAAAACTTTCCTCAGAAACACAATGAAGGAAGAAAGGCTTAGTGCTTTAGGAATGCTGTCTGCAGAAAAACATTTTGTTAGTGGCATTGAAAATTTTAATAATAAGGTAATCGAAAACTTTGCTACCAAAAAAGAAAGAAGAATGGACTTCATGTATAGAAAACTTTGAAGTTATAGGTACTTCTCCACTCTTGTTTTATAATTTGGTGCGCGTGTGTAAATAGTTTTATTTTTGATTTTTTTTTGGACATATAGATTTATTGAACCTCAAGAACTTTGACCACTAACTATCAGGGGTAAGTTATAAGTTATTCTTTACAATTTTGAATCGATTCAAAATTATGGCTTCCATTCTGGCACTACCTCACTGAATTGGCACGAGCCGCCACTGGTTTCTGGGGAATAGGGCTGGAGGCCTGCCAAATTTGCAAAAATGGTGAATGTGCCGATTGTAGTTGTCATGCAGAATAATAAAACTTGGAAGCCTTTATTTTTATCTGGCGTGAAGAAAACAGTACTCAGTAAAATTAAATGCTGTAGACAAACAAAACACACAGGTATAATCACAGAATCAAATAAATTTAAACAAAATCGGTGGCCACTATCGTAATAAAATACAGAGTTGTTACAGTGAGGAAAATATTTCATTTTTTAGGAAGGGGTGTTGGGAGGCGTCATGTCAATCGTGGCTATGATCCTTACAAGGTCAATTTTAGGACAAGCTTATTTTGTATACTTTGACACTTCACAGAAAAGTCATGGTTGTTTTTACTTATGCCTTCTACAGGGCCAATTTAAGGTAATTTTGATTTTGGAGGCGGAAGAGAAAGCAAATACGCAATAATGTGAACATAACCTCGGCGTATTTCAATTTATTTATTATCGAACAAAACATTTGTAATAATGCCCACTAATGTCATTGATAATCATCAGGTAAATCCCCTTTATCTTGCCTATAAGATATCCTTAGTCGATACTCTACTGGGTTTCTAAAACTTGGTATCTATTAATGACAATATCAAATAATAAACTATTAGATTTGGTTCTCTGGTGGAATCAAAAAATCACATTTATGTGCACATTCACCTTTTTTGCAAATCGGCTCCACCCCCCCTATTCCTCAGAAATTAATCATAAGAGATCGCTTTGGTTTCATCGGAGTTTTTGTTCAGGAAGGCCAGTAATACAGTAATGGCCAAAAGTATATAGACAATTTAATATTGTGCTGTATTCCTTTTTTAACTTGGTTTATTATTACACCAACCAATATACATAATTCGTTATAGCATAATACTCACTTATACATAAATAAATTCGTTAGACAACCTTCAATAAAAAATTAATTGAAAAAAAATGGAACTATGAAGGACAAAAATATATAGACAAAGCAAAACAATTATGGAAAAAGAAGCAAAGTTCATTGAATTATAAAAAGCCAACCATGTTTGTATTAATATTTTGTAGCATCGTTTCGGCATAGACTGTAGAAGTTTCTTGATATATGATTCATCAATCTGTCTCCAATTTTGCTCTAAAGCGGCAAAAAGTTCATCCTTGTTTGAACAATTTTTATCTCGTATTTGCTTATCTAAGTATTCCCATATACTTTCAATGGGATTTATATTGGGAGACTGTGAAGGCCATTTGAGAACTGGTATTTTTTCATCCAGAAAGAATTTCTTTTCGAGATTTGAAGTGTGCTTCTGGTCATTATCTTGCTGGAAGATTGATCTTGAGGGCATATTGTCTTCCATATACGTTAGGGTAACATGACATGCTTTAGTATGCCTGTGTATACAAACTTATCCATAATGCCGTCTATTGTATGTAAAGGTGCCATCTCAAACCCCGAAAAGCACCCCCAAATCTTAACAGACCCGCCTCCATGTTTGACAGTGGGCAAAGTGTACTTGGGTTCAATCTTTGTCCACTAGGACTTCTAACGTAATGAACACCATCTGATCCAAACATATTGAACTTGGATTCGTCACTGAAACATACCCTTTTCCAGTCACAGATGCTCCAATCAAGATACAACCGTGCAAATTGTAATCGGTCCTTACGGTTTTTCCTCAAGATTAGCGACTTCTTACTCGGGTGACGGGCAAATAACTTCAAATCATTTAATCTTCTACTTCTAGTTTTCGTAGAAACAGTGACAATTCCTTTTGTCTCGATTTCGGCTTTTATTTGTCTTGGGGTTTTAAACGGATCTTTGGACGAAATTACTGTTATTAATCTAACTGATCTAGCATTTAGTTTTCTTGGCCGACCACTTCTCTTAGAGGCTTCCAAGATACCTTTTTGTTTATATTTGTTCAAAATTGCCCAAACTGCTTTACGCTTCAGCTTCAAATTTTTGGCAATGTCGACTTGACGTTGACCATCTTTGTATAACTCAATGATCTTAGTTTTCACATCGAAAGAAATTTCTGGACCACGCGGCATGGTCCTAAAATCACTCAACTTATTCCACAATACTTGAAGAAACAAACTAATCCTCTTCTGACACGAAACTGTACTAAACTAATGATGAAAAGAATTTGTCTACATATTTTGTCCCTCATAAAAAGTGCTTATATTCAGACTTGTATTGTATTCATTGCAGATAATGTAAAAACAAGGAATTCAGTTTTTCTACTAATAACGCATTTGTTTATGGAGCAATGAAGTATGAATTCGTTTCCTAAAGGTATTTAGGTAAAAATTCATATTTGTCCATTACTGTATATCGTACTGAATTATTAAACAAATTGACTATGATTACTTTATCACATGTTTTGTGCGGTGTCCTTTAGAAAAATTTCTAGTATCTAGTATCTTCGCTGAAAACAAATAATTCTGCAGCTGCTCTATCAGTCGCCAGAATCGACGCCACCAAGATTTCAGTGCGAACTGAGACACCTTCACAGTTCCAACAGAGATGGCTGCTATTGGCCTTCGCAGTGGTTAATTCTGGTAATAGATGGCACTTGGACACACCTTATACCTCCGATAGAGGGTACTTTGCTGTTTTCGTTCATTGTTCCTCCTAGGGCCTTGCCCAGACAGTGCTGATGATTGCCAATAAGCATGAAACGCTTTATCATTTATTCATGTACAACTGAACATTTTTGACGAAACCTAGGATACGCGTTCTTGATAGTTTTAAAGGTTGGTTAATGCCCAAAATATAGAGAAATAGTGTTTGCGCTTATTGTCCCACCCCAGACTTATTCCGTTGGAAAAATATCTTGTTAATACCTTGCATTCTAAACTCTTCTGAGAATCTACAGAAGTTGTATTGGTGAGTCCGTCCCTGGATAAGAATATGGGTGCCCTATAGGTTATTACGAGAACAGAACCGATTTCCGCTACCGCAATGTAATGTATATGAGTCATTTCTAGTTCTAGCTGAGGGGATACTTTAGGGTACTTATAATCTAATAGTTTTATGCATATGTGGTGTTATGTAAGCATGATTTGGCATATTCTGGACGTTTTACGAAAGCCGACGATTTCTGTATTATACGTTATTCGTTCGCAGTCAGTACACCGGTTATTTCTGTACATGGTATTAACTATCCATCTATAATTTTGTTTATCTACAACCAACGAAGACGGCAGTTCATAGCGTCCTTTTCGACGCCAATTTATATCTGTCAATTGCTCTACCAATACAAATTACCGATGGACGCCGATGGCATTACAAATAGATACATCAGGAATAAAATAACGCCCTGGTGGAATCCGGCTATGAATAAAAGAATAGTTTTGATAGGCTTCGATGCCATTGGTGGACCCATCGGAGAATAATTATACTAAGTGTCATATACTCGTAAATACGAACACCCAGTTTAAATGGTTTTATTTTAATAAAAGTTGGTGAATGTATTTATCTTACTGTAAATAACAAGTGAACAAATTTTCAGCCTTATCAGCTGGACATTCCGGTTTTTATACTGCTTTTTTTTAATTCACTAACGCTCTAAAAATAAATATTTCAGCCGCAGTAAAGAATTAACGTTGGCGGATTTTGGTTCTTGACATCCTTTACGATCGGTTACGATGCCTAGAGTACGGAGACCTGTACGATTTCGTCAACTTAGTGAGTTTGATAGGGGCCGTATAGTGGGACTTCGGGAAGCTGGACTTTCTTTTCGGGCAATTGCAGTTAGAGTGCAAAGAAGTGTAGACACTGTGGTTAGGTGTTGTCAGGCATGGCTTGGAGAAGGCCGTACGCAAAGAGCAAGGGGCACTGGACGCCGCCGTAGAACAACAGACCGTGAAGATCGCCGCCTAAGATTATGGGCCATTTCTCCACTACCAGGTCCATTGCAAATAAATGGTTTCAGAACACGGAAGACCTATTGGCATGCGAAGTGTTTACTGACGAATGAGAAGTTTTGGCTTGTTTTCATACCGGCCACACTGGGTCCTCCCTTTAACTCGAGAGCACCGACGTAATCGCCTTGAGTGGTGCAGACAACGGTCACTCTGGGATCAGGAATGGAACAGTATTGTCTTTAGTGACGAGTCTCGATTTTGTTTAGGCATGCACGATGGTCGTGCCAGGGTTAGAAGGCGACGTGGTGAAAGGAGGAATACACAGTTTTTTGTTGAAAGACATGTTCATCACACTGTTGGAGTTATGGTTTGGGGTGCTATAGCTTATGGTTCCAGGTCACCCTTAATCTTCATCAGAGGTAACATGAACGCGCAGCGTTATATCCACGAAGTTCTAGAACCCCATCTTTTACCCTATCTTGACACCCTGGCAGATCCAACTTTCCAACAAGATAATGCCCGACCACATGTTGCAAGAGTCACAATAGACTTCTTTCAACATAATGATGTCACATTGTTACCATGGCCACCAAGATCTCTCGACTTATCCCCAATTGAGCACGTGTGGCATATGATGGGTAGGAGATTGCTCAATTTGCAACGTCCTCCTCAGACTCTAGAAGCACTTCGAGAGGAGTTGGTGGTTGCCTGGAATGAGATACCATAGGAGGACATTGACCACCTGATCAGAAGCATACCTAGGCGCGTTGGAGAATGCGTAGTACATCGGGGTGCATCCACACATTATTAAAGGCAAAGGGCTTTAAAGCAGTGCAATCA